TTTCAACTTTCCAGCTCATCTTCAAAGGGTATATGTATCATTGAAATTTAATCACATATTCATATACCAATCTTATACACCGTGAATTGTTGCTGGTCACTTTTGTTTTTGTTTCTGAAGGTTATATAATGTGTTGTTTAGTAGCACCTTTTAGACACTCAAAACCTCTTTACTTAATTTTAGCTAGTAGCCACAACAAACACAACCACCTCTAGAAGAGTGGAAGACAACCTGCCAATGGACTTGTCCCAGGATGTTCCTCAACCTGATGTTGTGAGTGTTTTCATGTGGCTTGTTAAAAACAGTTTGTTATATTAAATCCTTTATCTTATAAAAAGCTTGACTCTGTCGCTCATAAACTTGAATTTATAAATATGTGTGAACATTGAAACTAAACCCAAGGGTAGGCAGCCTTTACAATCAAAAGAGAAATTTTTTTTTCAGAGCCACCAAACATATTTTTGCCTTATAAGTGGACAAGCCTATACAATTACTTCAATGTATGCTGTTGTGTTTTCTGTCGGAGAATTGGAGTATCTTGTATTTAGGCTCAGAATTGAAAAGTTAACATTTAATTCTTAAAAAAGTAAGTAATTTCTATACCACTATTTTTAATATTTCTGCGAAACAGCAGGGAGCCAGTGGAGAGAGGGGTTTGAGCTGCAAGCGGCAGGCCACTGACCACATGTATGCATTGCCTGCTTGCCCTAAGGCTATAAAAGCCAAACTTGAAGAAGCCTCAGCAACCGTGAGGAAACTGCAGCGGGAGAAGAGTAACGCCTTGAGGAGAGAAAAGAGGGCCAAGATGAACATGCAGGCTCTTCTGGAGGAATTGAAGGGGAAAAATCTAATCAATGAAGAGCTAAGAGACAACCTTGAATACTATTCAGGTGAAATAAAAATATTACATTGAATATTTTGTGTTCTTTGTTGTGTTCCCAGTTACTATTAAAAAGATACCTACTGAATCACTTTGCTAATTGAATTCCAGATCTTCCGGTTGATCTCCTGTGGAGGCAGGGCGTAGAGTACACCAAGGACCAGAGAGATTTTGCCCTAACGCTCCATCTGCATGGTCCAAAGGCATATCACTACCTGAGAGATACCCTGCATATTCACCTGCCACACCCCAGTTCATTGCAAAGGTATTCTTCATGATGTCTCATTTTATATTGAATTACATTAAGCAGACAATAATATCATGAATGGTTAAACTAACTGATCTAACAGCTCATGTCTCACATATTGATATTATAGTGTCTACATTTGGGATGCGTGTGTTGATGGTTAAATGTCTACTTTTTCATTTTACTAAGGTGGCTGAGTTCTCTTGATGCCAAACCTGGTCTTAATAAAATGATGTTGGACATGCTGGAAAGACGGCGTCAGGAAGATGAGGTCAGGTACGGATGGACGCTCGCCACATGCTGAAGCTGATATGTTGCAGGTACATCCTCACTGTTTCAAATATCTGCTCTGATTGAGTCTCTCTGCTTTTTATACATTTCGATTGTATTTACATAATTGTGCAGAATATAGTGCTTTAGGAAAAACATCTGATTCTGCAGGCATACAGCCCCATTGGAAGCATGAATGGCAGCAGGGGCGGATCTAGAAAAATATTTATGGGGTGGCAAGAGGGGGGCATGAATTTTTTAGGGGTGGCAACATATGGCATTTGTTTACACTGAATTTAATCCCAGTTATCACAGTTTGGTGAGAATAGTATGTACAGTCAGTGTTTCATGTGAAGCAGTTCATATTAATAATACATCGTACAATGTGATCTCACCTAATAGGAGATAGAAGAATGATAACACTACTTCTAGAGGGGCATTATCATAGGTACTAAGGTGAGACACAGGTGCTGAGTCACAGATGTGAGAGATTGACTGTCAGAGAGGCAGCTTTGCAGCATTTGCACAAGAAGAAACTATAGAAAGAAAAAGTTTCCCATCATAGATCTATGGACTGAGCTGTACTAAAGTGAGCAGAACTACACAGTAGAAATAAATGGGTCAAGGCACCCGAACAAGGTACTGGACATCTATGTAATGTTTACTCTGAACACACATTTACCCCATTTGTTCCTCAGTAACTTGACATACAGCAGTTACGGCAACATGAAAGGGACATTTCATGCATGTAGATCTGCTGTAGATAGAGCTGCATATGGAGGACCAACTCTGCCATATTTAAAAATAAATACAGAAATAAATAAATGCTCAATAAATAAATAAGCATACAATTAATTGCCACCAAAAATATAATCAACAAATAAATGTAATTAGAAATTATATTATAATGGCAGGCAGAAATGTAAAAAGGGCAGGCAGAAAGAAATAGCGGCGAAGAAATAACTAGGGTAAAAAAATACAAAGGAAGAATAAAACAGACAAAAATATGATAACATGCACATAAATAAATACTTAAAAATATAAGTAGTTAAAAATGAAGTTGAAGATAATAAATGACAAAAAATAAATAAGGTAAATATTAAAAAGGCAAAGAAATAAAAAGAGTTATAAACCTTTATGACTAGCTGTATAATTTAATTTCTAATTACATTTATTTGTTGTTTGTATTTTTGGTGGCAATTAATTGTATGCTTATTTATTTATTAAGCATTTATTTATTTCTGTATTTATTTTTAAATATGGCAGAGTTAGTCCTCCATACTGCTGTATCGACAAATCAACAAAAAGGCGGGTTCTGTATGTTACATCAAAATCTCCACAAATCTGAAAAGAAGCAACATAAAAATACATTTTGCTTGTGAGTAGGTTCATACAGGTCATTTCTGGATAGTTTCATACTATATATACAAAAAAAGAAACAACAACACTGCTTCACATTAAGCAGGATTCACACCAGTATCACATTTTTAACTTTTAACACTTTTGGTTTTATTAAAGGAAATATCAGATTTTCTCAGGTGCCAAAACAAAATGTAACAGCTCTGTAAAGGCTCACCAGAGAGCAGAACATAAAGTTAACATGACTATAACAGCTGAATGCAGCGATTTCCATGTTGCTCAGCAAAACGCTTCACTAATTTATCTAGATCCAATGCCTTTGTGCGTTTTGATTTTAGTAAAACCAAACTTGATCGTCTCTTTTCTGTCATAGTTGACCGCAAATATGTCTTTATGAGCCTGAGACGTCAGGCCTAACTAACATCATAGATAGAGAAATAACGTTCTGCAACCTGATTTTTATCATCTCAAAATCAGCATTGCAGCTATGCTAGCAGCATTGTGCTTTCATTATGATTTCATTTCTCAATAGATAGTTAATCAGTTTTTACCTGTTTCATCCCGTGTCTCCTCTCCCCATCACCCCTGGCTCCCTCGCTTTGCCCCATTCAGTTTTCAAAACAATCAGTCTCAGTCGCTCTCTGTCATCTTGTGCTGCATTCACTGCAGTCCGACATTAGAAATTAGCGGCCGTAATTCTCAAATTATCCATAATTTATAAGCCTCGCCATCCCTACCGCCAACTGGGGTGGCAGCTGGGGTGGCAAGGCTGTCATTTAGGGGGGCATTTGCCACCCTATGCCACCCCAGTAGATCCACCTATGAATGGCAGCATCAGTTGGAAGTCCATAGTCCATCTGAACAATGTCCAAAAGAAAAGTGGACTACATGCTGCCAATAGAGGCACAGATAAGCATGTGAACTTTTCTAATCAGAAGATGAAGGTATGTTTGTATAATGCTTAATGTATAGAGGGCCGCAGTAGTAATGGGCTCTAGGGCTATATATATATATTTTTTTTATTTTATATAAACTTTTTGATGTTTGTAGCGCTTATAGGCACTTAATTTCTCCTTTAAACTTAATGAAGGTCTCCCTGGCTGCTCAGACTGAGTAGCTCTGTGGCAGTGGCGCTCTGCACGCTGCAGGAGGCGGGCTATGCAGAGTTCAAAGATTGTCAGGCTACTGCAGAATTCATAAAGGTAATGCAGCAAGGGATTTGCATTGTTGACCAAAATCATCTTCAACATTTAAGTAACACATTTCATCCTTTAACGCTCACCTTCCATTTGTAGTTGGTCTGTAGGCAATATTTAAAATGTGAATGTCACCAGAATTAACCCTGTATCTTTTTCTTTATTTATGTTTTTAATTTAGGCATCAAGAACAATTAAATAATCAATGACCATCCTCAAATTCAACAATATGCAAAAACTCTTTATTCCACCTCATACTTACATCAGAAGCTTCAAAGCAGGGCAGTTATTTAATAGAAAAATGCATAGCCACAGAGGAAATGAGAGAAATCCTACTATGCCTTATACTTTGGTGTTTACTATCTGATACTTGTTGACACTCAGTTACAGTGATGTTTTTTAGTGCTTCCAGTAAATGTAGATATTTGTTTATAGATAACAGACATGCTGTTTGACATCTTGAACAGTCACTATCCCAGAGGCAAAGGCTTCAAAGCCCCCTTGGTTCTAGGAATCGGACCAGCACCAGGGAGTTCTTGTCAAAAGCCAGGGAATACTTGCTCACTTTGAAGATGGAAGATGGCAAACCCCTTTACCGAACAAAGAGCTCTTTTAAAATAGTGACTGTTGTATTAGTGATGCACTGACACCTTTTGTAGTCGCCAATACCCAGTACAAATCCCTTTATTATAATTAAATGATCAGAAAGAGACTGCTGATTTAGAAAATATGCCTTTATTATATTCTGTTAGATTTATACAAGTCATTAAATTATCCAAGGTAATACTACACCAGTTTCAGTGCATCCCTCAAGTCCATGATATAAGTTCATGAGATGCTCTTTTCGGTCTGCGTCAAGTTCATAAAGCGGTACGTATTATTAATATAATATCTTGCTCCAACGTGTTTGCAGTTTGCAAATTAGTTTCAGTTGGAATTCTCTTGTATTCAGTTTTTTCCTCCCCACATGCCGGTGTCAAAGATGGTCTGCATGTTATGAATTGATTCAAGAAGGTTTTGTGTCCCTAAAATAAATGTTAAGCATCACTTTATACTGTTAGTTTGCATTCTTGTGTCCTGTTTTGGCAGGATCATCGTAGTGAAACAGTATTTGCTTTTGAAGGTTCCTCTCTGTCCTTGGCTTCATCATAAACATTGACACATTGATGGTTCCTGTGCTGCTTGAAGGACAGCGATATGTCCTGACTTATAGGTTCAGCCATCAGAGCATCCGGTAGGGTTCATTTAGATTTACCAGCCGCAACACTGAGTCACACAAAGTGTCAGTAAAAGCTTGTATGCTGTTTTGCTTGTCTTTTTAAAGCATGTGTTGAATATCTTTTTTACTATACTCATACACCTTGTGTTTTTCTTAAGGGGGCTGGAATAACCATCCTAATGCCAGCCAGTTCAAGTACGTTTTCAGGAAGCTGATGGCCCGGTGTGGGGTTGTCCAATCATGCAGAGGCAATGTGACTGCACAGGATGAGTCCCTACCAGCTGTCATTGATACCTCCACTAGCCTGTCAGCTGGAGATATGTCCTCTGCAGCAGGAGAAGATCTTCCATCCCCGTTTGCTGACATTCCTGCGCTGGTACATGACCACAGCTACCTTCCTGTCCGCTTTGATGGTCTTGTGGACAACGCTCTCGTGTACATTTCAGGTAAAGGCTGACTAAAAGTTGATTTTGCCTAAAACCGATGGTGCCAATAGTCAAAACCTGAGGGAAATAAATCTCCCAATGGTCCAAAAAGATAAATGTTCCCTTCATTTCCCCATGGTTATTATAAATTATTTTAATATACCAACTCTTATTTCAGGATTTGTTGTGCGACAGGCTCTGAAAAAGCTGTCCTGTGATGTCTGGTATCAGATGCTGCATCTGCCCTCAAGGACCAGAGCTACCACCTGCTGAAGTTAAAGAACAATGGAGGTCTGGTGGTTCCATCAGAAGGCACAGTGATGGTAGTCAGGGCAGCAGAGTGGGTTCTTCGTCAGACCTCATGTACCAGACGATCACAGCCCATCAAAGTGCTAGAGGTCGTGTACATTGTACGGAAGAGGATAGGGTCAGAGGATGGCAGTATGGCATAGACAGCCACCACCATACGCTGTTAACGTTGGTTGTGTCCTTGTTTTTTAAGTTAAGGCTGCACCACATTGCCAAAATAACTAACCTTGGCTTACAGAGCATCAACATGCGACAGAAGCTCAATAAAACCGTCCTTTTCAAAGGGCATTAGCCAAGCTATGTTTTTTGGGTAATTTTTTAAATCTCTGTCTTCCATGTGTATACCATCACAGTAGTGTAGGTGGGGATTTCATCATGCTACATCTATATATACTTGTGAAGGGGACTATTGTACCAATTTTAATAGCAAATAAATGTCACTTTTATAATGGTTTAAAAATAGGAACTTTTGTGTAATTACCCCTGATATATAATCCGAATAGTCTACATGAAACTTCAAAGTGTTACCTTTAATTTGAAACCAGGATTATGCTTCTACACCAAGAAGTTGCCACACAATAAGCCTTTTCTGTCAGTATTCCATATTTTATTATAACAATAATATTCATATTATAAAAGTATGTATGTAAATATAAATAAATTAGGACTGTGAAATAATTAATCACACCCAAATAAAAGTGTTTATATATATATATATAATATATATATATATAATATATTTATATACAAATATATATGTATATATATATTATATATTTTATATACATATATATATATATATTATATATATATATATAATATATATATATAATATATATATATTATATATATATAATATATATTTTATATATATATATATATATATATGTATATATATATATATATGGTTGCCATTCTGTACACTGAGTTTTAATAGCATATATTGATTTAACATAAATACCTTGTCCATGTGTATATTTATTGCACCTGTATGTTCTATTCAATGTTCTTTTCATATGAAATTCGGTGGTTATAATTATTCATAAGTGTGCAGTATCATAATTACATGTCTGACTTTTGTTTAACAAATGAAACAGTTTGAGAATCGTTAGACAATTGAGGAAGTTATTGTTATTTAAGTACATGCGCCATTGAAACACAATATAGGAGGTATACCCGGATGTATGTCTAGTTGCGCATGCGCATATGAGCTGAATGTACGTGCCGTTCGGCCATAACAGCATTAGCTTTAGCTTCCGTGTGCTAGCAGAGAGGCTGCTAATGTGTGAGTGTTTGCAGTGAGAATGTGTTGAGTCCAGCTGGAAGGAGAGTTTGTCAGCGAGCAGTTAACTCCTGCTGGAGAAACATTCCCAGAGTTTAAAGGAAGATTAGATCAGATCGAGGAGGAGAAGATGGATGATCAGCACAGACTGCTGGATTTCACCAGGATCCCCCAGATCATCTTACACCGGATAGGTAGGAACCAGGGGTGGAGCATAAAAATGATTTATCTTTAATTAGAGAAAAATTTAAAGAATTGTGTGACTCTAAAATTGAGATGTTTAAACTAGATCTTGCTGTTAAACTCATCAGGACAGGATGGTCTGTCTTTTAACTCTTATCCATTTCTGGGATGATATCAAAGACCACGTTTTCTTTCCATTCAGGGATTTATTGATAAAATCATAAATGAACAGCATGAACCAGGAACTAATTACACTGATTCCAAAAAATGGTAAGGATAAAACATATGTTGACAATTTAAGACCAATTACCATGTCATTTATGTAGAGTATAGATAAATAAGTCATTTTGGTAATCTATACATATCAAGCAAATCTAACTTAGATATTTGGTTGTGAACAGACCTGTTAACTCTGGGTAGAACCCTCTGGTCTAAAATGGAAGATCTCTCTAGGATTATTTACCGTATTCCTTCATTATACCTCAGATCATTAAGTTAATCAATTAGAATAATTTTCACTTCATTTTGAGCAACAGATTTCTGTAGATTAGGAAAAATATATATTATTAAATCTGTAGAAGGGGTTTGATTCAGTGAACAGAGCCATAAAACTGAGATGGCTGCAAAATGTGATCCATCAGCTTCATAACTTTAGTCAAACTCTCCCTGCAAATTCTCTCCAAATTTGTTTGCATTAAGTATTACTAAAATGCAATTTGGATACATTACTTAGATTAGATTTAATGAACGAGTTCTCTATTATTGGAAAATAATCTTTACACATAATTTCTCCCCTCATAATGCACCCTTATGGAGCAGTAGATATAATCTGATTTAAAAATAAATATTTATTTACAAAGATTGGACGGAACAGGGAATATGGTCCTTATTGCATCTAATGGAGAGCAGAGGAAACTTTCTGACCTTTGCAGACTTTAATCATAATTATATTAATTGTTCCAGTCAGAAATCTGATGAAGCAATTGATGCTAATCAATATGTGCTTAGTTGTTCCATTAAAGGCGCATTAGTTTACATGTAGATTATTCCTGGACCATGTTCTCTATATGTTCAAGACTTTCTCTTTATAGATAAAATATGTAACAAGTTTCTTAGATCTGCGTTTGTATCGGTGGTGGAAGTCTGAACAATGAACCAGATGGAAGAAACTGGAACAGACAACATAAAGCAGCGATACTTGCTAATTATTTATTCTTTTTACTGGAGCCATATTAATAGACCAAGGTCAGGAGGAGAGCCACTGTTACAGCAATCTGCTACGTCACTGAGATAAATAAACTGGTTTACATTTATACTGGCTACCCCACATTAAGAAATAACACAGTTGATACATTTTCAATTAAACCATAATTGAAAACTAATCCCATGTAGATCACAATAGAACACACTAAAAGTCGCAGGAAAGCGGCTGTTCCAACTGTTGAATTTCCGAACTCTCCTGAGTGGTTCCCGACTTTACACGAGTGAATGAAGTGAATGTGATTGGTCAATTATCAAGGGGGCGGGATTGTTGTGGCGGAAGGTTTGCAAGCAAGTTTGGTTGTGGACGGTTAGTCAGAAGCATACCAGTTAGCAACTTAGTGCTAGCAGGTTCCCAATGGGAAATTCCATTGGGACCAAGTAGCGCTAAATTGGTGACTTAGAAACGACGCTGTCAAGGAACGCTATGGACAGAGGAAACATGCAAGAGGAGGAGAGTTTAGTGTCGGAGGTCGTGGATGAGTCTCCTCCGTCATCCACTTTTTATTTAGAGGAGGAAAGCGGGGACGAAGATGTTGTGGAAGAGGACGCCAGGGCGGCAGAAGCTTGGTTTGGTGTAGAAGGCTTCCAGCCGTACATGTTTGAGCCCTTGCCTCGCAACGCTGCCAGTTCTGTTAGCTCTACGCCTGCCGAAGACACAGACGTCCATCCCCGTGAACACTGGGACGCAACTCAATGGGAAAGGAAAGGATTCTGATTTCAACCGTTGCGTATATTAGCTGCGACACATGAACCAAGATGCTATGACTGAAAACATTTGATTGACAGATGACTGTTGATATATGATTGGCCGAATTTAGGTGTTCAGGCTGACGTAGAACTAACTGGCCTGCAGAAGATAAGGAAAAAAGCCACAGATTTTAAGTCAAGATTTTTTTTAAATAGAAATTTTCTAAATTTTGGCACAATAAACAGTACATTTATATACATGTTTAAGCCAGAATGATTTGACACCTAAATATGATTTCCTTACAACTTTAAAGTTCAAATAGAAAAAACATATTTCTAGTTTCTCATTTTATAATATGTATAAAATGAAATGCATCAGAAGTGAACAAATTCCATCATTTAGTTGTTTATAGCATTAAATAATTCACTAAGATGGCAGAAGATGCTAAATTCCTCATTGGGTCATGTGACCCACTGAGGGACGCTGTAGTTTATTCAGGAAGAAGTCATTTTACATGGAGTGAATATTTATTGACCTGTGATGGAGTTTTCTCCTTTAATGAGGACAAATAGGAAGCAATCACAGTCTTGGTGGTTTTATTAAAGCTCGCTGGTTTAATCAGCGCTGCTAAATGTTCTTGGATCTTATGCAGAGCCGCTGGAAGTTCATTATCCATCAGAACATTTTCCAGATGCTGCTGAGTTTGAATTAGTTTAAACCAGAGTCTAACCTTTAGTTTAAGGAGAGGATCAGAGGATTGGGATTGGTTCTGTGGTGGCTGGGTTCTGTTGGGTCGGTAGCGAGCTGCTGCGGTGGGTGTGAAGGCTGGCGGTCAGTACTGGAGCCCTGTGTGCGGTTCTGGATAGCAGGCTGGGCTCCGCCGCTGAGCCTGGATGGGTAAAGCGGTCCCTCAGTAACCCGATGGCAGCGAACGCTCCAAGAACCGGATCCTTTCTGCTGTCTGGTTGGGAAACGTTGCCCTTAGGATGTGGTTTTTACCCGATTCTGCTCATGGCGCTTTATTAAAGCAACAGAAAACAAGCTGCTGATACTTTGGTTGATTGGATCCAACTGATGCTGTGAGAGCAGGACTGATGATAAAATAATCTGCTGTGATGTGATTCCATCTTAGTCTCCTGTATCGGTTGGATGCCACAGATTGTCCCGTTGATCTTTGTCTGATCTGTTTACTTTCCGGATTGAAATTTGAAGTAAAACTGGGTCCTTGGGATAATGAAACCTTCCTTTTCTCAATCCAAAGCCACTCCTACAATTAGCAGCAGTACAGCTGACCATTGTAATGACGTTTTCACCATCCTCTCAGAGTGCTTAGCAATGCGTGAATTAGTGGGTCTGTACGCACACCAGAGGATGATTGACTACACTGACGTCACAGCTGGGTTTGGTCACATGACTGCTCTAGAGGCGCCCAGCATACTGGAAAATCTCTCAATTTTTGTTACTGGGAGCATTTTCAGCACAATTTAGACCACCTAGAGAGAAGGAAGGATAATCTACCATCACACACCATAAAACTGCTCTAGACGCGCTCCTTTCTATTTGACCTTTAATACAGAGAGGAGCGGGAGCTGGCATGCATGCCCTTAACTTTTTTAATGTTGTATTTGTAGCTTGTTGGGATTATAGTGGGGCATTCAAGGTGAGCATTGCTCAGTCCTGCTCAGTTTTCCGTTTTTCATGATAAAGTTCCCAGCTGAAAATGTTGACTTGCATGTGCTCAAAAAGGACATAAGCTACTGTGCAAGTGGTTTTAAGGTGGGACAGTCTGCTACAGAAACCAAGCTCCAGAAGTTGCCCACACCTACTCTGAGTTCAGCTTGCAGGTCAATTATTTCCCTTTCAAGCTGTTAGGGCAGAGCTGTGTGATGGTTGGAGCAAGAGAGGATACATCCATGTGGAAGGAATTTTCTGTTACCGGTACATAAAAAATGCCCTTAACTTCACTCATCGCCCCGACAGACCCTCGATCCTCAGACAGGCGCTTCAGACCTCTAGATAATATCCAGGTAGATGAGAGTGATCACCTTTATATTAACTTTCAAAGTAGATATTAAATGTCATATGTTACTGGAGCCAACTCAGAAAGTGGAATTAAGACTTTGAAAGAACAATGTACATTCATTCCATTAAAACATGCTGTTTAATGGGCTAACATCAGCTATTCCTTTATTTATCCCACGACAGGGAGATTTATAGATTTAAAGAAACAAGCAAGTGCACACAATAGAAAGAAAATTACGTAAGGATTGAAAGATATTATACAAGAGGTAGATCAGGAAAAGAAACACTATGAACAGAACAAAATTAATGTTAATATTCCATTGCAACAATAAATAAAAATCAAAAACACCAAAGGTCAAAATTTCCATGATACATCAAGTTAAAATGTTTAAAAATATCAGTATCCATATCAGCAATACTGATCCAGTATTGGTATTGTATTAGGGCTGAACAATTAATCGCATTTTCAATATAATTGCGATTGAAAAAAAATGAGATTTCCAAATCGCGGACGTCTGCAATTTTTGGCTATGTAACAATTAGTGAATCAGACGCGTTCTTTAGGTGTCAATAAAATGTTTAAAGTGGATTTGCCTTCCCTTCCACATGGAAGGGAAGGCAAATCCACATGGAAGGGAAGACAGTTGCAGCAGTGAGATAATCTAATTTTATTACTTGTTTTAGAGTTTATATATTCATACATAGCACTAAGTACCAGTTAATCAGTTTAATAAATAGACTGGTTTGTTGGTTGCACTTTGGACTTCATGTTCAACAAGGACTGATGTCCAAATCAGTTAAAAGCTGTTCTCTTGAATAATATTCTGATTAATAAAAACATTAAAAGTTCTTGATTTAAATAGCCCTTGTTTACAATTGTCTTTATTTAGAGGCAATTTTTGTTGCTTGTGGTTATGTAGAGAAAAGTCAAAATTAAATTGCAATTTTGGTTGAAATATATCGAAGGCAGAATGCGATCATTAATTAGGACACAGCGTGTCTTTTAGCCCCTAATTTGTTTTTTGTATATGTTTAAAA